AATTTTTGATTTGCTTTGCCTTAATTTAAAATCATTCAGCAGAAATGTCATCAAAGTGACAAAGACTTTTTACATCTGTAGTGAAAGCGATTCAGGAATAAAACAAAAAACATGACAATTTAATATGATCATTTCAAAATGACCATTTTACGTATCGGTGAGAAGTGGTAAATTGTTAAGAAAAAGAGAAAAAATGATCACTTTGACCAAAATTTTGAACATGTTGCTAAATGTAATGAGAACAAGGGAGGTAACTTATGTAAAAAAACGACTTGAGCTTTTCAATAAGAAACAAAAATATCAATAGAACAGAACGTCAAAAATTACTATTCGGACCAGCATGCACATTTTTGTCATTATACCCAAGTATCTGCCATACTCCTTAGAATTTTTTTTTTTTTTTTTTACCAGAACCCTTCATTCGTGCCACGGGGATTTAATTCCGCTTTTCATGCTTAGGTGGTAATTTGTGAGATTAACAACCAAGACGAATATGCTGATTCAAATATAATGATAATTCCTCATCTAAAAAAAAAAAAAAAAAATCTAAATATAAATTATGTTATTCAACAACTTAATTTATATTTAGATCATTTTTTTAACTGTTATTGAATGCATTTCCCAATGGATTTTATTAAACTAAAAAACGAAAAAGTAAAAATTGTTGAATCAAATAGAATTTCCAAAAAAGATCCAAGTGATTACTTTATAAGTTTCAAATGTTCATGGATACCCAACAATCTGATACTCATTTTTTTCTTTGAAAATAGCAACAAAAATTTTACATCGCCTTTTTATTTTCATTTATTTGAAGCGTCATTTAAACAATTGTCTCCCCTTGCAAAAGAAGTGAAAAGAAAAAAAATAATCTAAACAAAAAACACTTACATGAAAATTACAAATAAATATATAAAGAAATTAAGGAGGGTAAAAATCGATTCTCAAAATGAGAATAGCAAAAGATAGTTCGTCTGTTTTATTAATTTTATGTTGCAATAAAGGCCATCGTATTTCAAACAATGATATTTAGAGATAATTGTTAAGGGCAAAGAATAAAGTAGCATTTTGTAAAATTTTTATAATAAAAGAGTATTGATTAATTATAAACTACATGTTGTGTGTTGGAGGTCTTGATTCAGTTTACAAATTTAAAAAGAAAATTCTTTTGGCTTTAAATATAATCAGTTAATATATAATAATCTTGGCTTTTCACTTGATCCTAAGGTTAAACTGATATTTGAAAACAGAAAAGGCCTTGACTTGGAATTTTACATAAGAACAAAGTACAAAATCTGCTAGTTTATGTGACTGTATCATTGTAAAATGTAGAATGTTTAAAAGTAGCATTCAAATGATATTTTAAATTTATTCCATATTGTGAAAAAAAAAGAAAAAAAAGTGTTTATTGCATAAAATATAAAACAAAATGACCACATTGAGCAAAGGTGCTTTAACATGAAACAATGGATAGTGAGGTTATTCAGGTTGATTAGTACCAGTGAGTAGTAATTTCGACCCTCACTGGGTGCCCTATACAAAATTTGATATAAAATAATCCAATAAGAATTGACAAAACCAACTGATATTAAAATCAATTTGGTTCAAAGTTTAAAATTTCAAAGTAAATAGTTTTTAAGAGGATAAAAAAAAACCCCCAAAAAAACAAGAAAAAACTATGAAAAAGTGTAAAATGCTTTCATGTGATATGTTTCAATCTTTAGTTCTTCATTGGATCACATGAAAACTTTCCATTTTGTCAGTTTTTCTTTTCCTCTAAAATTGTTTTTGATATATAAAAAATTATATATTATTTTCCCAAAGTATATAGTAACAGAAAAAAACCCCAGCAGCATAGAAACATTTTTATATGAATGTCATTGAAAATAAACATATCTATTTAATATTCTTCGAGTTTATCAAAGCAAATATTATGAACTATTTTGATTAGAACATTAAGAATAAGGCTCATTGCTACCACTTTACTACTGCATCTATTGAGCTGAAAGAAAGAAAATACGCTGTTATTTTAAAAAGTTTTGGTCAATGTGGTTATTTTGTGGTGTTTTTTCTCAAAATTACATGCAACTAATATGAAAATATTAAAAATGATATTGATGCAGCAAGAAGTTTCATTAGTTAAAGAAAATTGAGAAGTAAAAAAAAAAAAACGTAAAAACATTGAATACAAATGGATGTTTCAGGATTCTCATGCTTAGAAATCTTTAACTAGTTTAGTTTAAAATTAGACATTTTATCCCCATCTTTTTTTGTGAAGACAGTTTCTAAATAAGAGAAATTAATAATTATTATAAACTTGTATATAATACATATCTTAAAACATTGACATATTGTGTATACACATACAACAATCACTCAAAAAATAATGACTTCTATTTTATTATGCTCATTAGAGGCAGATATTGGTATAGCAGTAGAGATTGAACGTTTTTAACAATAGATTATAGTATTTTTTTTTGGCTTTGTTTTATATCATTTGATATGAAAGTGTATGAAGCAGAGATGTTTCACTAAATTCCGTCATGTAAAAAATATTGCACCCATTGACATTCTTCAGTGTTTGCTGAATGTTTACAGAGACCAAACAGTGGATCTGAGCACAGGTGGTGATTAATGCATTTCAGCAGTGGTGACTGATATGTGTAACAAACCATGTTTCTGAGCACAGTATTCAGACTATTATTCATTGCTGGTGAAAATGCATTGCCAATCATGATGACCCCTTGGGAAAAAGTCTTTTTTTGTAGCTGAAAAGTTGCGCTATTCAGTGATGTTACTCTGCTCTCTGTATTTGTTATTTCTGTGAAAATAAATAAGAACTATTACTGTGGGGAGAATTTCTTATACATTGCTCAATTTGATAATAATAAAAATAAAAAAATTCTGTAATATTTCACAGTAAATCAAGGAAAAGAATATTACCAGAAAATTAAACAAGGATATTTCCTTTTAGCCATTGGAGAAAATAAGAACCAATTAAAAAACAAATCTTTCATGTTCACTAATCATTATAATCAAACTAAGTTTTGACTGAATCAAAATTAAATATAAACATTTGGTTATATCTGTTTCACTGAATGTGACACAAGAAACTATTGTGATTATTGTCCCAAGCACTTTTGGCTAATTTTTTAGGCATATTTTTGTGTGTGTGTATGTCTATTCTGTTTGTCTGTAATGTTTACATTAATTCCCTTTTTCTTGATATTCAATGCACAATATACAAACTGAGTACTGAAAAAAGAAAATTAAATAGAATTGCTAATTTCAGTTGTAAATCATCAAAATCTAGTTTTAAATGCTAATGTTGCTGTTGATTGTTTTCATTCATCATTTTGCAAATGACTTTCACAGATGCACTATTTACATTATTTGGACTATTGTCCTCATCTTTGTCACCATATTTATTACAATGTTTCGGCCGTTGTATGCTCTGGCCTTCTTCAGGTAGTTGGAATGTCAAACTGAACCCTTTATTTCGCTCACTGGGGTAGACTGTTCTAGTTCCATGTGCCCCAGTGAGTGAAATAAAGGGTTCAGTTTGACATTCCAACTACCTGAAGAAGGCCGGAGCATACAATGGCCGAAACATTGTAATAAATATGGCAACAAAGATGAGGACAATAATTTGAATAATGTAAATAGTGTACATAATACCCCATCTCAGAAATATAGACAGATACTTTCACAGATGCAATTGATTAGATAAGAACTTAAAAATAAAATTATTATTCAGATTGGCGAATTACAAATTATGCAACAGTTTCTCAAATTTGTAGATTCTAGACATGCCTCTCAAATTCATTGTATCAATTTTCTAGTTGAACAAAAAAAAATATTAAATAATCAAATTTTAACATATTCATACAGTGTATATCATATCCTAAATTTACAATAAAAATTTTGGTACCTGTTTACTTTCTATGTGATTGTTTCAGTGAGTGAATGTGTTTTACAAATCCTAGATATCATAGAACTACTATCCAGTGTATATGATTTTTTTTTGTTATAACTTTTGAACTTAACTTTTCAAAAGAATATACTTTCAATTTTTTAGAACGTCATTTAAATTTAATAGTAACAAATGACCTTATTAAACTTCAGAATTATAATAAAAAAAAAAAAGAAAAAAAAAAAGGGGTCTGGTTTATTAAACCATTAATTTTCTGTAACCCACAGTTGTTTTATTTCACTAAAGCTTTTAGCAACCAAGTTTAAAGAAATTAAAATATTATAAATTTTCATAAGAATTTTTTTGCTTCACAAACCATTACAAAAAAAATAATAAAAAAAATTGCTAAATCATCATTTTCAGTTATACATGAGCAGCAAGTTGAGGTCACTTGATGGTTGTGGAAGAGTGAGAGTGTGCAACAATTCTCAGTTCATTTCAGATCTTAGTCAAGTTTCTTTTAATGATTTTTTTCTTTAAAACCAAAAAAGACTATTAAAATTGTTAGAATTATTTTTTCAAAGATATGAAAAAATTTAAGTATGAAAAAGATTAATATTAATAGAAATGAATAATAGAAATTTACTCAGCTCAAGCAACTTCAAATTGCAGAAAGTTTTTTGCATAGTCTAAATAAGATGTTTAAAAGAATGTGGTGAGGTGATTATATTTATGTTCCCTCTCCCCTACACATGGCCCTGACCAGTAGATTCACTGATTGTTTTAGAGGTTTCATGTCATGGGGGACCTATTTTCATAATAATTTACCTCTTATATTCTCAACCATAAAGAGGCTGGCAAACTGTAACTATGATATTCTCATTATGTGCAAGAATTCTTTGATTTGAACTCTGGTTCTGCAAGTTAACTCAGAAATATTACAAGCAAGTTTAACAATTCAAATAACTTGACAATAAATAAAAAAAGTCTTATCCAAAGGAATAATAAATTTTAAAACTTCTTTAGAATGTAGTACAGCATTTTAGATTGCTGGTTCTTAGTTCTTTTTGTTTCTTACCACTGGTTTGAATCAAGCTTTCAACTTTCCCGGATTATATAACTTTGGTTGGTCAACTTCAGTCTCTTCATCTTCAGGTGATGGAGTTACAGAGATCCTGACCCGTGTTTTCTTGGGAATAGCCAATGCAGGAGGCGGTAAGATCTTGTCCTGTAGGTGGCAGTAGAGAACGCTCATGTCCCAGACTTTTTGTCTCAGAGTTTCATCCATTGATTCTGTGGAGGATTTAGCTTCTTTGCGGTCTTTAAAAAATTTTCCAGTCACCCCTGAGAAAAAACAAGAAAACTAAGACATTAACTTTATACTTACGTTGGATAAAAACATTGCCAACATTCAATTTAGGTTTCAACAAAACTAAATGGAAAGATAATAAAACAAAAGGGTATATTTGATTTTAAGATGATTTTGCTGTAGTTCATAAAAATGCTTGCTTTCTGCTATAATCTCCAATAAAGTTTAATATAAGAAACTTTTCAAAACTGAAATTGCATTCAAGTTTTAACTCTTGTGTACTTTCATGTAAATAAAAGTAAAGTATTTAACATTTTGCAGACAGACACCACAAATAAAGTATGTCTTTATCTTTCTAAAAACTTTTTAAAAATCCTTAAAGAATTTAGTCATTACATTATATAATATGGAAGACATGGAAAGAATATTTACTGAAAAAGAGAATGTTGTGATAAATCCTTCTACAGTAGAATGAACTCTTCCTCCTCTCATAAAAACAAACTGCGAGAGTCAGATATGATAGAGTGTGAAGTGGAGTGGAGTAGTAGACGCATTGCTAATCTACTTATTACTAACACTATTGTTTTGTAGATATCTTCAATATACTTTCTCAACCTACCTTCATCTTCCGTGTCTTTGTTTCTGGCCCCTAAACAGGCCACAACAGAGAAAGACGGACAAAAAAAAAGAGAAAGACGGACAAAAAAAAGAGAAAGACGGACAAAAAAAAAGAGAAAGACGGACAAAAAAAAAGAGAAAGACGGACAAAAAAAAGAGAAAGACGGACAAAAAAAAAAGAGAAAGACGGACAAAAAAAAGAGAAAGACGGACAAAAAAAAGAGAAAAGGAAAAAAAAGAAAAAAGGAAAAAAGAAAGTAGCCCTATTTCCATTTTGTAACATTTGTGGCATGTGTGTTCATATCAGAAGGTCACCAGTGTTGATAGATGGTAGGATAATTATTTTATCAGAAACATAGGACATAAAACAAACTGACTCAAGAGTTTGAAATAAATAATATATTTTTTATTTATTTTCTTTGAAGTGATGAGCAAGTTTGTAAATAAGATGGATATTAGTAGCAATCTGGAGAAATATCTATTTCAGTAATTTTGAAGTCAGACTCTTATAGGGATAGCAGTAATTGCAGAAATTATGTCAATGTCAATCTACTGCATTTTTTCATTCCTGAGCAGGGCAGAAATATCAATAGCAAATGAACTCGTAACTGCTTTTTCAAGCATGGCTGATTTCTATATGTTAGCATTCTTTTGTTCTGTTCTCTCCTCATCTCTTCTCTAACTAGTCCAGAGGTGTCAGGTTTATGTCCTTTTGACCAGGCCTGAGAATTTGGCATGAACAATTTTTTTTGATTGGCCAAATTATTTTATTTTCCAGTATTCCTTTCTTTTTAATTTTTTTGTTTTTTTTGGTAAACAGAATTTATGTGTGTAGCCCCTCCCTAATTTTTGCTATTGTTCAGTCACAAATAAGTAGCCTCTGCTCCTGCAAACTTCCATTGTTTTTGGCTGGGTTCAGTCTTTTCTTCCTCTTTTTATTTGAGGATTGCCTTCTTGTTAGTTGAGAGAAATATAGAAAGAAAAGTTCAGAGAGAAAGAGAGAGAGAAAGAAAGAAATAAGGGTTTTAAAAGAAAATGCAAATGCCTTATTTTAATTTAAATTTTTTTTTTTTTTAATCAGGACTCACTAAACATTTTCATTAATTCCTGGCTACTGAGAATCTCTTTCTGATTTTCAATGCATTTCTATAATAGAATAATTTACAATGCTTTCTTTTCATAAAATCATTAGTAATGCATTTACATTATCCATATAACAACCCTTATTCTAGCAGCAGTGTTTGGATTAACTCCTGACCACTAACAATCCCTTTCTAATGATTTTTAACGTGCTGAGTGCCAAAAACTTACCAAATTTTTACATCCCCACCACCAATTCCTGGAAATATTTTGTTTGCCGATTCAGAAAATGGGCAAAGCTAAACAGAAGAATTTGGCCAACAACAAGAAGAACTAAAAGAACTTTGTAAACTGGGTTCAAATGCAATTGGAGATCAAACAACCAGGTTTAATGTTTGCTTACAAATAAATTTTGCTATTTTATATTTTTAATGATCATGCATGTAACAGTTATCAAAGTTTCAATGATTAATAAATCATTCTGGGATAATTTTTCATGCATTTTTACAATAGTATCATTTGCAATATATTTCTGCTAATGTTTTTAGCCTTTGTTGTCACTATTCATGCAATCATTAAAGTGAATTAAAGTTTTAATGTATTTGTTGAATAAATTCTGTTACAACTTACATAAGTAGTTTCTTATAATTTACAAAACAAATTGTGAAAGCAGATTCATGATAAAACCTCAAGAATGTATCAAGTCTGGTGGGGTTCAAAGGGAGTCATTATGAACCACTTGAATTTGAATAAACCATGACTGCACAATATTACAGTGAGAAATTGGCTCGTTTGAATGACAAGTTAGAAAAGAAAGGATTTTTCTCGGCAAGGAAATTAACTAGTGATTCTTCTACATAGCAAATACCCATTCTCATGTCGCAAATATGATGCAGTAGGTTATCATGGAAATTAGGTTGGGAAGTACTTTCACACGCATCTTTTTCATCTGTCACCTCCAGATTATCTGTCTGGCTCTATGTATGGTTGGTTACAACAAGCTCAAGATATCACAAAATAACTAAATAATAATAAAGAATACATCAAATCAAAATCATAATTTTATCTTTTTTTAAAATGATAGAATACACAATTTAGCTGAAAGGTTGTGGAAGGTCATTCTATGGTATATATTGATACTATGAATTAAAAATAATGTTGAAAAAAAGAAAAAAAAAAGAAAAAAAAAAAGAAAGAAATTTTGAAAATTTGTATCAGCTTAATATAATGTTAGCACACACATATACAAAATAATGAATAAAATAACCTTTATTTTCTGCGCTGGTGGCACAGTCCATAATGGCATCTGCTCCTTCACCAACTGTCTTGGCAATATTCTTGTAACGGAGGAAATAGTAGAGAACATAATTTAAAAAGAATCTGCTGACTGCTCCAGCATCTCGACCCAAGGAGGTTTCAGGCACAAATCCTATCAAAGAACAAGAAGAACATTGTCATGACATCTTGAAAATTGAAAGTGGTAAGACAACCGATTTATATGCAAGTAACTAAGCCAACTCTATGACACAAGGTCAAATACAAAGAGTACCCAGTGGATGAACTAACTTGAAATAGCCTGTACTTTTATTCTTGTTCTATAATAGGAGTATACAATTTTGGTAGTGTATTTTTTGTGGGACTAATTACTGCGCTGATGATTATTCACCTAATAATAATAATATTCTTTGGTGTTGGTTGTTTTCATTCCCATGCATCTAGTTTTTTTCTTATCAGGAAGTGTGCAAGACAGTCACATGATGTATGAAAATGAAAAATGTAAAAAGAATTCCTTTTATTTATGAAACTTCAGGAGCAAAAGCTCATTCATATTTGGAGGAAAAAACATCCAAAAATAGTTACTAAAAAGCAGGCATTTCTACTGACAGTTACCGAGTTTTACAGGAGCTGAAGGAATTATGTCTGCCTTATGTTGTGAGCATGAGCAGAAGGAACACATTCCCATTGGTTGTTTGGTGGAAAGCAAACAGGATATGACAGTTTTTTTTTTTTCTGATTGGCTGTTCAATGTTTGGGACTCTGATGGGTGAAAAAATAGATTTAATGTCCATTTGAAAATCCTAGAAATTATATATATCAAGTTCTGACAGCTCCCCCTCCGTAAGCAGAAGTGGAGATTTAGGGCATGAATGTTGTTTGCCTTTTAGATATAATATATATAAAATGTCTTTAGTATTTTAAATTTGTTGATTAATCACTGAAGAGTGAGGAACAATAACTGGTGAGCTTATATATATCTATCGTTTTCTTAGGGGTACAGAATTTTATTATGGAAATAAAAATAGCAAGACAAGCTTTACTATTCATGATTAAAAAAAAAAAAAAAAAAAAAAAAATATGATCAGCCAACCGGCTTCGCCCTCACTCAACAGAGCTGAAATCAAGGGAAGACTAAATATTACAATATAAAATATAAAACATGAGAAGCATGTGATGAAATAAAGGCAGAACAATCAGATGGAAATGATGTCAAGCCCTAACAGACATTTCCTCTGTTTACAGAGGGAGGGCTGTTTGGTCCTGACATACATCGTTTCCAATACCTTTAAATGTAACACAGAATGAGCATGACTAAGGATGGAGAAAGAGTCAATGCTGAAATTGGTGGAACAGATTGGATTATTTATAAGGTGTTCAGTGATGGCAGAGCCATATGTGTTACTAATCTTGTCACTAGATTGGAATGTACCATTCCTGATTTTTCCAAGTACTGTTGATTTATTTGTACATCTAACTGTAAGGTAATTCTACCTATGTAGTCAGCTCTACAACTACATCCAAATTGGTATATCACATTGTTAATATGGTGGGGAGGTAAAATGTCCTTTTGAGCAGACACTCATTTTTAACTGTTGAGCTGATCTGTTTGGCAAATTTACCACTAATTGAACCCAACGAGGGCAAATGCAAATAAACAGGGCATTTAGAAGCTGTACTCGATTTAGGTTTAGAAAAATTTCTGATTTTCTTATTCATGACCAACTTAATAACATCCAAAGGGTAGCCATTATTAGCTAGAGGTTTAGTAATTGTTTTCAGCTCTTCATTTAATTTAGATTCTGAGCAGATCATTAAAACTATGTGTAAGGGTACTAATTAGATTTTATTTGCATTTGTTAGGGCAGAATGTATCCCATCGAGTGTATAGTCTGGTAAAGGTTGGTTTACGATAGATTGATGTAATGTATCAGGATGGTGTTTTAGTTACCAAAACATCCAAAAAAGATATAGTGGAATTAGTCTCAATTTCCATAGTATATCTTAGTGCCGGATGCATACCATTAAGTAATGAAAAGAAAATTTGGCCTCCATTATATTTTCAAAGAGTCAAAATGTGTCATCAAGATAGTGATGATACATTAGTGGTTTGACAGTTTCAGAAAATAAACAATTTTCATGGAAACCAACAAAAATATTCACCAAAGTAGGCCCTAGGACTGAACCCATAGAAATCCTCTCAATCTGTCTATACATTGTGTTACTGAAACTGAATTCAACAGACATGACAGCAAATCTTATTAAATCAACAAAAATGTTTTCCGCAATGGCAGGTTCAGATATCCAGTTTTGGTCAAGAATAAGATATCTAAATTACATTTTAGTAAATCATTAAGTCTGAACCAAGTTTGATATCCATGCACTTCATTAATCTTTGCTTCAATATCTGATTTGTGTTAAAAAAAAAAAATTTCATTATCTTGGCTGAAGCAGAAAATGAACAAGATCTTTTTTTACCCTTGTGTTGCATCTGTTATTTTACACTGAACATTTTTCATTCATGGCTTTTTCTATTTCTACTGTATTGAAGTCCTTAAGAAGCTACTTGCTGAAGACATAATGAAGTTGGGGTTGATCTGGTGAATATAATTGTCATCCAGCAGTTAATATAAATGGTATTTAAAAAAAAAAAAAATTCCTAAGTATTTCTCAGTTTGCTCAGAAAATAAAACTGAGAAGACACATTTAAAAATAATAACTCCTCAAATCTCCACATTCTGCTCTGAGGGTAGGAAGATCTTTAATGTTTCCCTAAGTAGATAACTAGTATATATTACTTGTTTTGTTAAATACTAAACTATCTTACTCTGACATTATGTCATTGATGATTATGATTATTACTAAGAAGAAGAAGAAGAAAAAGTTTATGATTTTTATAATATATTTCCTGTCCTTATTAAGACCACAAGACAAAACACTAATGATATCAAAACTGTCACTGTACGTAAAGTTCTCAGCATCTATAATTATTGGAGAAATTGGTAATGGTAATATTAGCGGTTTCCTTATAAGGAAACATTCATCATTCATTTACTGAGTAGCCAATGCTGCCGTTATTTGAAATTTAAAAAATCTTTCTCTTAAAACAATTTTTCAGGAAAATAGTTTTCTCAAGTCCAGTATCTGTTTTCGCTCTTTCCAGTATTGATGAGAGTTTCCTTCCTAACCTTTTATTTGAAGTAGTGTGGAATGTCAATATCTTGATTATGTCATTATTTTCTCTTCTCAAGTCCAGAAGCTGTTATTGCTCTTTCCAGCATTAATGGGAGTTTCCTTCCTAACTTTTTGTTTGAAGTAGTGTGAAATGTCAATATCTTGATCATGTCATTAATTTCTGAGTTACATATGATATCCATTTTAACTGTTGCTGCTGTTGAAAGTCTTCAAGTGATTTGGTTTCTGTTATCTGATACAGTTCTTTCTTTGTGATTTTGTAGCACCAGTCCATAATGATCAAAGGATAATCATTGACAAGATCCACAGACTTCACTTGCTTAAAGCCATTTAAAAAAAAAAAAAAAATATATATATATATATATATATATATATATATATATATATATATATATATATATATAGAGAGAGAGAGAGAGAGAGATAGATAGAAATATGACAAACTGGAAATGGAAACTTTCTTGTGGTGTGTTTGTGTTTCATCTGACTGGGCTTTGAGATGATTAAGTAAAACTCATGAGGTGTTAATTTCTGGGATTGATAACTGATAAATGAAAATGTTGAAAAGTTGGGGTATGCTGGCACTGCACTCCTTTCAGAATAATTAGTCATATGTAATTAAACAGATATAACCGTTAAACTTTCAGCCATGTTTGGTTGTCATGTTCACATTCACTACTATCAGTGTCTAATATAAAGACCTAAAAAGGTCAACAGGTTGTTCTGTTGAATGCATTTAAAACAAAGTTATTTTTGAATAGCAATTTCAAGAGTGGCTGTGAATAAGAGATCACATTGTAAAATTAGTAGTTGCCAGGATGTTACTGGAAAACCATAGCAGAAGCGTAAGCAAAATCCGAGATGACCGTTTGCATCTCAAAAGGGCACAATTTGAAGTAGCTTTTCACCACACGCAATGACATTTTAGTAACATTCCTGTACTTGTTTCATTTTGATAATTTACTAAGACTTGAAATTATAATCAGATATTATGACACTAAGTTTAAATCCATTACACATAGCTGATATAACAAAGAAAACAAAAGGCATTTTATTATTAACTAGCAAAGTTATTATTATATATCATCATTATTGTCATTCAGTTATGCATAAAAAAGTAAGAGAAATAACAGGACAAAAGACATGCTTGTCGACAGAATGTATCAAATCAAAACACTGAATGCTGATAATACAAAAAGATAAAATACTTCAAAGATGAAATGAATATATCAGAGATTTATTCCACTACCAATAAAGAAAACTTGCAATAAACAAAAATCTCTAAGGACCAGAAATATTAAAGTCCAAAGTGAAATCATCACTGGCCAAACTGAACAGAAACAAGGCAGCTGGATTTGTAATGGAGATGCTGGAATTTTTAGATGATTTCAGCATTGACAAACATTTTAAATTACATATATGATAGTGGTAATATACTGGAAGATCTAAGTAGATTCATTTCCATAATACTACCAAGAAGCCAGGTGCAAATGAACACAAACTCCATCAGATAATCAGCAACAAGACAAAACTTATGATCCAAATTTTAATGAATAGAGTGCATAGCAGAATTAAACTGGAAATAAGACTAGAAAAGTGTGGTTTCATTAAAGAAATTGGAACAAGGAATATATCTATGCTCAGAATGATATCTGAAAGAGCAAGACAAATGCAAAAGGAAGTATACTCATGTATTAATAGATTATGCAAAAGTATTTGATAAAGTATGTCACAAAGAACTGCTTGAACTGTTAGGTGAGCTTGATTTATTTGGGAAGGACATTAGAACTTATACTGAAAGCAATCCATCTGCATACAGATAGGAACTGAATTCAGTAAATATACAAAAATAGGAATGGGTATAGGGCAAAGATGTGTCTTCTCACTGAACTTATTCAGTCTTTACAGTGATTCTGAGAGAATTAAAAGTCCTACCAGGTTTCATTATTGGCTGCCACAATCTTAACAGCATAGGCTATGCAGAAGATTCAGTGTTGATAGCAGACACATGCACAAGGCTGTCCTTTTGTTTTTTTATATGTAATGACTATAAACTAGGCAGATGCATTCTGACTATTGTGTGTGTGTGCAATATATATATATATATATATATAACTAGAATGTCATAATTGTATACTCAGAAAACCCAAATTAACCTTTAAATTAATAGGGAAGCATATAAATGAATCAATTTGTGATTTTAACAACATTAGATAATTAATTGTAGGACAATTGCTAATATGCTAATCTCAATCAACTACTATTGCAGAGAGTTTGATACTCACTGAGGGCTCTATGTTTGTCATCATACCAACAACTAAAGTAAGCTTAGTAAAAATCAATAATATTACAAAAAAAAAAAATGTCTAAACTTAAACAAAAGAATTCATTTTATGTACGACCATATGTACATATATCTACGTACAAAATACACATACACGTCTCAGTAGATAACCAAATGTCAACTTCCTCTATGTGCCAAGTCCATTCAGGACATGGGTGATCATGGCTCTCCATAACTTCCTATCCTTTTTAGCTCCTTACTATTCCTCTCAATCCAGATTCTGCTATCAATTTAGAAAAGCTTGTTAGGTCAGTTATTAGCCGTTTCCCTCTGTCTTTCTTGCCTTTATTATATCCTACGAGTGTCAAGTTCTCCAAGCCTTCTTTCCTTATTATGTGTCTCAATTGCAACTACCTCTTTCTGATTATGAATATAAGTATCTTTCTTGTTTCTATTTTCTCCTGAACTTTGTCACTGCTCACATATTCAGTCCATGGTATTCTCGGCATTCTTCTGTAGAAACACTGTTGCTTTAAGGCTCTTTTTCATCTGAGGAGATTATCCAATAATTGCTGCCATAGAGCAGGATTGATATTACATAACAGTTCAGCACTCTTTTCTTTGTTTCTAATGAGATTTTCCCATTTTATACTTTGCTTAGCTTTTGGGAGGCTTTGTTTGTTATTCCAATGTTAAAACATTTCTTAGATATTTAACTAAAATATTTTATATGCCATACTTATGCCTTTTTTTAGTTCATTTTCAGAAGTAAATCAAAATAGTGTTCTGAAATCTCTAAGTATTTCAAAAGACAGTTATTCATATATTCTTTGAACATTTTTCATATATTTTCTTAATGACAATATTCCAACTCTGAAGCCCTCACTAAGTGTATTCTTTTGTCCTAACAAAAAGTACAGAAGAAATTTTAAGCTGTTTGAAGAATGTTGAGTAAGTTAATTATTGTTCTTATAGAAAGTTAATCTGTAATCAAGTGAAGAGCGAAACTCACAATTGAGCACCTGAATGACGTAGCTAATTGGTGTACTTACCTGGACAAACACAATTAACAGTAACACCTGTCTTTCTTAATCTCTCTGCCAGTTCATATGTGAATAATACATTTGCAAGTTTAGAGTTTTTGTAAGCTTGATATCCATTGTATGTTCCAGGTTTTTCAAGGAAAAAGTTGTCCAAGTCAATTGGTTGACTTTCTAGTAAGGAAAAAAAATTAAAACACAGACATTTAAAAACAAATGGGAAGAAAAAAAAAGTAAAAGATAACAAAAATTCGTTATGATCAAAAACGTATTAATCAGTAGGATGAATAATGACTTTTAGCCGAAATATTCTAGATATTGGAAAATGTCTTTAGACAAAGAACTGTTTTTAAAAGTTTTTTTTTCATTAACTAAAAACAATAAAGAGAAAAGCAGTAGAAGAAGAAAGAAGAAAAGAGGAAAACAACAGAAGAAAGAAGGTAAAATGTGCTTTGAATAAATAAAGAAAATAAGAAACATCACTTAAGTTGTTGTTAGCATAAAAATTAAAGGAAAGTTTTATAAATAAAAGATAGAATCAGTGTATTGTGGGTATCAAAAATGTCTTTATAAAATGATAGGGTAAGAGTATTCATCTTTTTGTTTGTTTTTTTTAAATGCTGACCAGACCTAAGCATTGTTGACAGCAATAGTTGAAGAGAAGAAATAAAGGGGAAGAAAGAAAGAAAGTGAAAATTGAGAAGGAAAGAAAGAAAGTGAAAATTGAGAAGGAAAGAAAGAAAGTGAAAATTGAGAAGGAAAGAAAGAAAGTGAAAATTGAGAAGGAAAGAAAGAAAGTGAAAATTGAGAAGGAAAGAAAGAAAGTGAAAATTGAGAAGGAAAGAAAGAAAGTGAAAATTGAGAAGGAAAGAAAGAAAGTGAAAATTGAGAAGGAAAGAAAGAAAGAAAGAAAATTGAGAAGGAAAGAAAGAAAGAAAGAAAATTGAGGAGTAAAGAAAGAAAATTGAGGAGTAAAGAAAGAAAGAAAGAAAGAGAAAATTGAGGAGTAAAGAAAGAAAGAAAGAAAGAGAAAATTGAGGAGTAAAGAAAGAAAGAAAGAGAAAATTGAGGAGTAAAGAAAGAAAGAAAGAGAAAATTGAGGAGTAAAGAAAGAAAGAAAGAGAAAATTGAGGAGTAAAGAAAGAAAGAAAGAGAAAATTGAGGAGTAAAGAAAGAAAGAAAGAGAAAATTGAGGAGTAAAGAAAAGAATTTTCAAGAACTGGTAATAGAGTGAAATTTTGCAGCTCCAGATATTATTTCTTTTCTGGACTTTTGCTATTGAAGGAATTAGTGAGTGCAAATAATTCTTCATTTTGTTCTATTCATTTGAACTACAAGAAGAAATATACAAAGTAGAAATGAATGTAGAAAAGAACCCCTTCAAAAAAAAAAAAAAATACAAGTAGAACATCATATGTTTTTCTAACACCTTGATGGCAGATCACTGGTCAGTTACACAACCTAATCTTAAACTATATTTACTTCCAGGATCACCTGTGCTCATTAATACTGGTGCTGTCCTGAGTTAAGGAGCTTGCTATCAAATGACATACTGTGGAGCCAAATATAATTGTTTCAATCACATTTGATGTGTAAATAGCAAACCTGTTTATTATAATATATGAATAATACAAATAAAATTTGTCACTTAGCTCATTGAGGTTTTATTCAGCACATTGACTCCAGAATACCATAGACAAATCTTTTTGTAATCATTCAGTTTGTTCATCAGGAGGTTTCAGTAATTGACAGCCATTTTCTCATTTTTCTTTATTTTATACTAAGTTTGATGTAGTTAAATTTATGCACTAATGTTCTTTCACATAAGATGTACAGCAAAACACTTACCATGCCGTCCAACTTTGAGAGCTGGGTCATGTAGAGAAGATCCTACATTCACAATTCTGGATTCCCCATTTTCTTTTGCAGAAGATATTAAATCCTCTAATAGAAGGTGGGTTAGTAAAAAATGGCCTTTTGGAAATAGGAAAAAAAAAAAAAAAAAAAATTAAATTTTGAATCACTTTTTTTTTAATAAAATTTCAATAAGAAAACTAGATCACTCTTTTTTTTTATCTATTTTTTTTAAGTTTCCAGCAAAAATAAAAGTAACAAATGATTTTTTTTATAAAATTACAGTAGGAATTACAGAAAAAAATCATTACATGAAAAGTAACAGGTAAATTAGCTGAGAAATAAGATGAAGAAAAAGTATTTGTCAGAACAAATTATGATACAAACACTAAATTCATGAATGCAGATACATCAGTAAGTCATACTAAGCTAATTACCACCTGCATATGGACAAAAAAGGAATTCAGCAGATATACAAAAATAGAAGGGGGTGTAAGACAAGGATGTGTCTTCTCACCAGACTTATACCACTTATACAGACAGGATTCATTATTGGCCCCCAATCTTAACAACATACAATATGTAAATGACAGTGTTGATAGCAGACAGAAAACTGCAAAAACATAGAGAAAGTAGTGAAGGAAAGCAAGAAGAAACGATTAAACATCAACTTCAAAAAGACAGAATGAATGGTTGATAGAAAATGATGAGCCCAAAGTGAAAATTGCAAATCAAAGATATCAAAGTCAAATTGAACAATTGAAATATCTGGGAAGTGTTTTAACAGAGGATCAAAAGTGTGACACTGAAATCTAAAGGTTTACTGGGGTAGCCAAAGATGCATTCCAAAAGCTAAGTAAAGCACCAAGAAATAGAAAAGTTTTGCTAGAAGCAAGAAAAATAGTACTAAACTGTTAGGTGACATCTGTCCTCCTGTACGTCGATGAGTGCTGGACAATCTCCTCAAAGAGACTTGAAGCAACAGAAATGTGGTTCTACAGAAGGATGCAGGGTATACTATGGACTGAACATGTGAGCAACAACAAAGTCTGAGAGGAAATAGAAACGAAAAGGAAACTTATACTTAGCATTGAGAAGAAACAGTTGAGGTTTCTAAGGCATATGAGGAAAGAGGGTTTGGAAAATCTGATAATCACAGGACAGATTGAAGACAAGAGAGACAGAGAAAAACAATGCATAGCATATTTAGTGAGCTTGAGTAAATGGACATTGGAACAGTGTTTAGGAGAAATAACAAAGACAAAAAATTTATTAAGAGCTACATGTGGCAGGAAGTTGTGAGAGCCATGATCGCCTACAACCTCACTGGACATGGCACATAAAGAAGCAGCTAATGATAAAAAAAAGACCATTTTAGCACAAATTAATTTTTCCTGTTACCATCTCCTGTCTTGCTAATGAAGTTTTTTTGTTGATAAATATTAAATCATGTTGAGCAAATAAACGTCACCCTAATTAGAAAAGAACATAATTTATTATGCAGAAAATACTTAAAAAGGAATCCTAATAAATATTTTACCATCAATAAACACACTTTATTATGTCACCAACTTTTATAAAATCCATACTTAAAGAATCTAAAATCTAGCTACCTATAACTACAACCAGTGCAACCTAAATTCTTTCACTTTCACGCAAAACATCCCCCAATCAACATATGGACACTACCAGATATAAATAAAAATACCCACTAGACATTCAAACACATACAATCAACAAACTGTTGCATAGATCAACTAGAAATTTGATACACAAAAACAAGAATTATGCACATGAACACTTCTTGACAGGACAAATACACATGAGATCTGAATAAACAATGAAAAAAAAAAAAAAACAACAATACCAGAATTTCCTGGTGAAGCTTGAATAAAAGTGAAATCTGTTAAATTTATAAATGTTTTTTTTTTTTATTTGTTCCTCAACTTATCATTATACAGTGAAAATTTCAAATAATTACTGTGTCAAATAACAGGCATTAATCCATCATTGTATATGAGAGAGAGAGAGAGAGAGGGGGGTACTGGAAGAGTAGAGGAGATGAGCAGAGTGAGAGAAAATGAGATGGAAGCACAGTAATCTATTATATGAATATTAAGTAATATCAGTTTCACCTAACCTATAAAACTAATTACATAAATGTAAAAACAAAATACACACACATACACAAACAAAAACAAATATAAAAACACAAAAGAAAAAAACAGAAAATTTAAGCCCACATGAATATCGACAAAAATTTAATTTACCCAAATGGTTTATTCCCATTGTGGCTTCAAAATTATCTTTAGTCAGTCTCCTTGCACCTGATGTGGCATGAAATACTCCAGCATTGTTCACAAGCAGATCTAGAGGTTTTCCCATCTCATGAAAGTTAGTCACAAACTTATGTACTGAAGACATATCTGCCAAGTCAAGCTACAGGAAGAAAAATGCTATTTTATTAGATAGAAACATTATACAGAAAAAGAGGGCAAGATGCAAACAAATAAAACACACATGCAAACTCACACATATGGAGATGGAGTGAAATAATGTAAAAGAAGTCACAAAGCTTTACAGTTACATTCCATTCTTATAAACAATAACAAGTTTGTTTAATTTGAGATCAGCAATATTCACTATTGTTGGTACTGCAAGAATAAATATTATCTACAACAATATGGGATCACTGATTCAGATAAGTTCTCTGTACTTCCATCTGACAAAGAAATTATTGCTGGAGACCACTAAGATTTAGTACAGTCTGGCAAAAGGGCCTGCATTCTGATGACTTCTGATCATGACGACTGCATACCTGAGTGGTAGTTTTTGACTGGTCAGTACTAACCACATGATTTCCCCAGAGGGAGTCCTAGATCACATCTGGGACTTTCCAATTTTAGCACTCACACAGTTTGGAGATTCCTCAATTTTCTGAAAATGTGCATTTACTGTGTTCTGATTGTGATCCCAGCAATATTACCATTTTGACAATTCTCACCTGACATTGTCAGCCAGCTAGTCAAAATATCTATAGCTTCAGATCTTTCATACCTTTTCCACATAAGTGAATGTAATGAACCCAACTGGAATTTGAACTTAGTTCTCTGATTTCTCTCAAAATTGTAGATGAATTCATCTTACCAAGATCCGCAATCTCCAATAACCTGTCTCTTGAATCAGAGCTACACAGGCAAATCCAAGAGAGAGCGAGAGAGAGTGTGAGAAAAATATAAGCTCACCACAGGCATCAAAATCAGAGCATACATACACTCAGTACACTTTTGCATGGTAGACAGCTGGATAATCTAGATATGCCATGAGAAACATCTCAACAGAATACGTCTATACTGTTTACCTAGAGAGATCATGTGCTGAACAACAATGATGAACATTGGCTCAGCTATATCTATACGTGGAACAGATGCATCTTGAAAAACATCTATGAGTAGCTAGCCCTGGGGTCCTGGATTTTTAAGGTACCCACTGCCAAGATAAAATGACATCTTCAGATTTCTATGCCTGACAGCAGGTTATACATGCAAGCATCATCAAGGAGAAATGAACCCAATTGCAATCAAACAGAAGAGAAAGAAGAGCTGTTGTAGTGAACACCCAGCAGGAGCAATCTATCTTCAAGTACAGCAGTTGTACTAGAAAATGCAACTAAAAATTGTCTTGTTCAGCTGTAGTCAATGTAAGTTTGTTACACATTAAACTGAGATGAATATATTGTCAATCTAGACTAGAGTTTCTCAACTTTTTTAGCCTTGTGGAACCCTTGGAATAGTTTCCATCTCTCAGGGAACACAAAATTATTATATAATTTTCAATAACATATGAGGTCAAAGCCTTTATTATAATAACAAAAGGCTTACTGCTACATCATGTTGAAACACTGGTTCCCATATGATCTCTGAAGTTAAGCAATTTCAAACCTGGTCAGTACCTTCATGGGTGACTGCTTGGGAATACCAGGGGCTCTAAGCTTAGATGCATTGGTGGTATAATAGATAGGGGTTCAAAATTGTTAATCAGAAGACTGAGTTCCAATTCCTATGGGGTTTGTTACACATATGCAAATACTCTTGCAAAAGGTATGAATTCACTTCTCTCCTCAAGTATGAGTTAATTAGCAAAACTTGTTTCACTAAACCATTATTTAAAAAAAAAAAAAAATTCTTATTATTTAAAAATATTTTCTGGCTTTAAATAACCCACAAAGGGTTGATAACCCATAGAAAATGAATCAATCAATCTATAATAGCCAACGGTTTTTCAACAATATGTCATATGTATATATTACAAATATAAAATTAAACAAAAATCTCAAAAATGCAAGAGCTTATTTATCACTGTTTCTCATGGAACCCCTAGCAACCTCATCTGGAACCCTAGTGTTCTGGGGAACACATGTTGAGAATCACTGATCTAGATGGAGCCAAATATCAAAAATTTACATTTCCTTGGTCAACAGCATTGGATGGTATACATGTTGAGGTACTAAAGCATGGAGGAGAAACTGTCACTAAATGTCTACATCTTTTATTAGAAGATTTTTGGGAAAAAGAATGTATTGCTGATGACTGGTATGATACATTAATGGCGGTACACTTAAAAGGGGTTCCTGGTAGTAAGGATATTTGTGGTAACTACAGAGATATTCTCTTGTGTCTGTGATTGGTTGAGTCTTATGTAGCATAATGTTGAACCAATTACTCCAATACATTGCTAAGGATATGTTTCTGGAATCTCAGTGTGGCTTTTAAACAGATCAGGATATCATGGATACAATTTTTTTCTGCAAGATCCTATAAGTGTGTTGAGCAGAGAATGGACCTGTATCAGGTTTTCATTGATTTGACAAAATCATTTGATACAGGAAAAAAATGGATTAAAGTGAAAATTAGGTTACCCAGAAAATTTATTAAATGCTTCAATATTTTCATAATGGTGTAAAAGTGTGGGTATATAATGGGACTTTAGCCACAGTTCAGTGTTTTGCTGTAAGAGAATGATTAATGGGGATTTGAAGGAGCAAATAATTAAGATTAAACAGTGACAAAACTCAGGGAAACTTATTAAGTGTTGAGAAGATGGATTGTTCTGATTAATTCGTTTTCTACAGCTTATCAGCACTTTGCAGAAAGCCAGAAAATATTTTTAGATTGTAAGAATTTGGGGGAGGGAGATAATAATGGTTTAGTGACAAGTCTTACTAATTAACCCATAGCTGGAGGGAGAAGGGGTGGATTCATACTTTTCCCAAGTGTATTTGCACGTAATTGAATATAACAAACCCAACAAGAATTGGAACTCGGCTCTCCAACAATTAACAATTCCAAGCCATTATCAATTACACCATCTGCACCTGGTATTCCCAAGCAGTCACCCATCTAGGTACTGAACAGGCGTGATGTTGCTTAACTTTGGTGATCATATGAAAACCAGTGTTTCAATGTGATGTGGCTGTAAGCCTTTTGACATGAATAAGAATAGATTAAAAACAATAATTAGATGCCATAAAATGAGTTTGAAGAAGGCTCTAGGAAGATTTGAACTGGAAAAAAACAAATAGATCAATAAAAGAGCAGTGCTAGGGTTCTAGGTAAAGGTTGGTGGTAAGATGTTTGAACCAATTAAAGGAAAGAAAAGAATGGAATGAAGCAAGGAGACATTCCTGCTCTTATTCTATTTTCTCTTTATAATTGCATTTTATATGGTGTTCAAAGACTGATGATGGTGTATATATACACTATTACACATCTGGAAATGTAATATATTCTATACAAATGAAAGTGTTCCTGTGATTCATACTGTTGATGATATGAAACACCTAATGGCCACTTTCACTGGTACTTGCACTGCTCTTGGACTTACTATATCACAAGAAAATTGTGACAATGTTTCAGACTTCACCAAGTAAACTTTACACAGAGCCAAATATCTTTGAGTACAATAGTCATAGTTGTTGACTTTATAATCTCGATAGTACCCTATTGAGAACATGCTCACTGAACAATGAAGTTGCAAGGAGAATCAAAAGGACCAGTAATGCATTTGGCAAGTATATATATATATATATATATATATATATATATATATATATATATATATATATATATTTTACAGGACTCTCTCATTGATTTGTACATATGAGGATCAAGCAACTCAGTTCCTAGAAACCGTCTGCACAAGTCATTTGATTACAGTGCTGAAGGCTTGTGCAGAACCAACCACACTTTTTGGAAGAGTCAAATACAGACAATTGGTACACAATGTGTCACAAGGTTCCCAAACAACCTCCCACGGATTTTGAATTCAGTTGTCCTTCTCCTAGACCAGTTCCCACCCAAGGCTATATAACCCAGTAGGAGGTATGGTGGAGTAATGGATAGTGGCTTGGATTGAGAAATCTGTGACCCAAGTTCGACTTCCAGTTGAATCCATTGCATTTACTTGTGTGTTAATACCCTTGGGAAAAGTATGAATCCTTTTCTTCTCCCCCAGCTATGGGTAAATAGCAGGACATATATACATATATAAAAATACATACACACACAGCATTTTCAGCATTTTATATATGTGGATTATTAAAAAACTATTGTTTCATGTTATTTTATCACCCAAGTTTCTATTTAACAAGCCATGAAGTAAATTAAATTCAATTGTTTATTAAATAAGCAATTCAGATTTGTCTCCCTTGACTACAACTTCCTGTTTAGAAGTAATAAGTATAAAAGAAATAATTTTGTTTTTTGAAGGATTAAAATTTAAATATCCAATGAAAGCTAATGTGAAAAAAAGTGCAATTTATTTGCAAGCTAGTTTCAACTGAGTCTAGAAATATTCTATTCTTTGTGGTAATATAATGTATGTTTACTTTAAGTAGTGTTAATACCTGTAATAGGATTAATATGTCATATCTGGGTGACCGGCTAATGTGAGTTAATAATATCATGTCACATATAGTACATCACCAGATAATGGTAGTGCTATACAAGAAAGGAACATTCTCCCATTTACATTTCCCCCATTATGGGCATTATCCATGATATAATAATACCTTAATACAACAGCTGAAAGAAAAAGAATGACAAACATGCTTGGTTCTTAGAGAGAGTTTTATACCATTAAGTCATACACAAAATTATATATACATATTTACATGTGTCTCATGCAGAGAAACTATAACAATGACAAGCAACATGAAAAGTGAATGAAAAGGAATTAAAACTGCCAGAGATTTTTCTGTGTTTCTGAAGAAACTATATTTAAGTTTCCACATTTGAGTGGGCTGGATTTATCTTCTATGTCACTTGTGAGGGCATATTCCACAACACAGGAAATGGTGAGTCATGGGTTTTCCCAAATTAGGGACTGCAAGCCCAAGAATTTCTATATCTGGTAGATATATTTCTAAAAGAAAATGGCACCATAGGCTTGTAAGTTGCATCACATGGCACCTGACTGGTTCAGGCCCATGCTAAAAAAGCAACTGCTTGGTGTGACTCCTGGAAGCTGACTGACATACAAGCCACTTTCATCACTCTATGAAGTGATATCACTAAGAGGCCATCACATGACCCATGTGATTTTATTTCAACCAAAGGGAGATAATCACCTTTGTCGCCCTACACCTGTGTTAGTCATGATATTCCATTGTTATGCTAACGAGTGAGATCAGATTGCATAATGTCATATTGTTTTTACAATAAGACTTAATGATTCATTTCATTCACATTATTTTTTTTTATTAAACCTTTGTTTGGTACTTTCTCTTATTTTTTATCACTTGTTTAAATTTGTATTTAAAAACAAAAAAATGTTTTTACTCAAAGTTTTTAACTACTAATACAAACATGTTGGAGAGACAAAGTTAGCAAAACCGCTTTGCTGGAACAAACAGACCAGTGGAGTATGCATCTTCTCCTATGACAATGTCATCTTCAATGGCTTGGTCTTGTACATTGAATGAAAGATGGCTCTATGCCAAAAGACATCAATATACAGTGAGCTGGCTATGAGACACCATCCTGTAGGACATCCAGCATCACATTTCAATGATCTATGCAAGAGGGACCTGAAACTCACAGCCATCAACTCTGGTAGCTGGTAGTTGCTAGCATACAACTGCAGCAGCTAGTGCCATGCTGTTTAAGGAAGAGTCATGAAGGGCGAGAAAAATGTTGGAGATCAGAAGATGATACAGGAAACAGAGAGAGAAATCTCAGACCTTCATTCCACATTCCAACTTTGTCACACCTACAGTAGAGACTGCCATTCAAGGATTGGACTATTAAGCCACTCCAAATGCTGCTCACAAAGGGACTGAATTTTGACCAAACAGTGTGCTACCATTATCTCACAAGATAAATAGATACCTACTAATACAAGGATCAACCAGGTTCTAACCTATTTGTTTTTTTTAAATTATAAACGGTTTTTCTACAGAATTGCCAGTAAAAACATTTAAGGATAATACTTACATGCATATATGATGCCAGAGCATTTCCTTGCTCTGAACAAATTTTTTCAACAGCAGCCATTCCTCTCTCCTCATTTCTGCAAGCCAGAATGACATCATGACCCTGTGCACATAAACGTTTGGAGACCTCAAACCCCAGGCCACAATTGGCACCAGTTACAATAGCTACCCGGCCAATCATCCTGGAATTAGAAAAAAGTTCCATATATATATAAATATGATAAAATATAGTTTTAAGGTATGCTATATTTATGGGTGAGGAAGCAGGGTGCAGTAATGGTTAGCGGCTTGGACTGAGGAATCAGAAAGCAGAGTTCGAATTCTAGTAAAGTTCATTGCATTTACTTATGTGTTAATACCCTTGGGAATCCTCTTCTCCCCCAAGCTATGGGTAAATAGTAGAACAGACTGGGTTCTATAGCCTTGGATGGCAACTGGTCTACTGCAGAAAGAAATGGTAACCTACTGTGGGAAAAAATCTGCCTTGTCAGTCATGTATCGAAAGACATATGATCGCCTAAGTGTATATCATGCATGGCACATAACTGACTGATATTTATGGGTTAAAGTGCTCAATATCAGAGATACAGTGTATGCAAATATAAAAGTAAACATTGAGGCTAATACCCAGCAGACACAGTCTGTTTCATGCTCAAACACAATCTTCAAGCCATGTCCTGTATATTTTGTTTAAGCATGAAACAGACTGTTGCTGCTAGGTGTTGACCACAATTTCCACTTTTACAATATGACAATGCCTTTATGCATACCCACATACAATAGCCCTATTCTGTTAGCAATGCTTGTATTAATTCCTGACCACCTGTAATAAAACTTGCTAAATATTTAAGTTCAAAATCTTCAAAGAGAATAATGAAAACAAAAAGGAAACAATGAAAGTAGAAAGTTTAATCTTTTACTTTATAAAGAAGGAAATTATAAATAAATTTAAAAGATTCATTTTAATTTTCTTCAAACTGGTGCCAACTCTTTAGCTATGATGTCTTCATGCATAGATCCACATATTAAATAAAATTCAATTTCTTAGTAGTGTAACCATACAATAGGTACCTCTCTCAGCTTTTCACCAACTGAACAACTAACCTCTTGTTGCATCTCTATTCTTGTTTGCACCAGTGTGCATAAAACTGGGAAAGTTCAATTGTACAAAAGAAAACAAAAAAAGGCAAAAATAAATACCATAGTAAGAAAATGAAAGACACAAATCATGTTTCCCAGTTGTTTATTTCAGGGATTCACTTGCACAGTCTGGGCAGGTACGTTCCACTTTGACCAACTTCTGCCATATCAGTCAAACAAATCAGCTTTAACCCTTCAACCAGTGAGAACTCAATTCTACCACCCCTCTACTAATCTGTACAACAGAATGTGCAGCTTTGAAACTCTCTCGCAACAGAGTGTGCATCTAATAATATGTGGTCTGGAGCTATATCAATGGAGTCTTTTCCTAGAAAGAGGTGGTAAACTAACTCTCAATTTCAACTGTTAGTGTTTAAATAAGCCTGCAACTGGAAGTCTACTTCCAGTCAAGTATCACTTGTTTCAAAAGTTTTTCATGTATTTATTATTTTATTCCCTCTTCATCAAGTGGGTGTCTGCCAATCATCAGTCAATTATGTGCCATGCGTGATATACGCTTAAACGATCATGTATTTTTGATACATGACTGACGAAGCAGATTTTTTTTTCTGCAGTAGACCAGTTGCCATCCAAGGCTATAGAACTCTGTCCTACTATTTACCCATAGCTGGGGGGAAAAGAAGAGGATTCATACCTTTCCCAAGGGTATTAGCATGTAAATGAATGTGATGGATTTGACTGGAATTCAAACTCAACTCTGCGATTCCTCAATCCAAGCTGCTATCCATTACTCCACTGTGCCTCCTGCTCGTCAAAAAAAAACACAAAGCACTTAAGACCAAGATAAAATCAATTATCATCTATGTAGGTGTCCTGACCACAGCTTTTACAATGATATTCACCCTATACAAGGCCAAAGAGCCACTTGAGGTAGAGGGTTACAGAGTAAGAGGCAAGTGGATAATGTCATGATGATGCAAGGGGCCTCTGAAAGTGAAAGAGAAGGAAAAGGCTTTAGAAGAAACTGGAAACCCAATCTTAAACAGGAAACACGGGATAGTGTCATAACATTTTTTTTTATTGGAGAGATGTGAGAAACAGAAAAATATTTACCCATTTTTAACATTTTCCAGATAAGATGATCACATAAAGGTCATGTCTAATTTTTTTTTTTTTTAAACCACTTTACTTAATTAGGAACTTAGCTACTGCATCTATCCACTAGTCAGTCATATTAACAAACACAAGTATAAATTCTTCCAAAATATCACATTCCATAAATATGACAGATGTTTTATTCCTATCTAAAACACATAAACTTTGGAATATTTTTATTCCTAACATTTGTTCCTATCACATGAATACTTATTTCAATTTTTTTTTTTTTTAATATATTTTATATTCATTGTTATATCACACAAACATATTTATGTTTTTCAGAAATATTGATCAAGTCATATTTTGTCAGAATTTTTGAGATGAGGAAGTATCATTATTATATGCTTTGCTATTTTGGTCAGCATGCTCATCTTGGTTGCTATGTTCACATTTTGGAGGTTGTAACCTTCAACATTCTTAAGGTGTCTGTTGTACTTGGTAATCTTCTTGAAATTTTGAACTGGGGCCTTTATTCAATCCACTGAGTAGATTGTTCTCACTTCATTTTTATATTGAGAGGATATTTTTTTATCAGTCAATACTCACCAGTTTTATTCACCTTTGTGTTACTTGACCATTTCTTTCACTGAACAAGAGAATGTAACTTTTCAGCACTAACAGACCCATGGATTGAACTCACAACATGGAATATTGCAACCTTTCAACACCATCTTCTTGAACGAAACATTATGGACTCCAAAGACACAGCATTCCAGAAAGTTGAGTCAATAAATCAATACATTCAACAAAGGAAACAATTTGGCTGACCCCAGAACAACATGTTATTGTATTGAATGAAAACACAATGAAACTAATTGCTGTAATCTGCCACTCACTGCATGATGACAATTTTGCTTCATTTCATTCTAAGTAAAGACATCTTTGTTCAGTTATTTATATAGGTCATGATTTTTTTCTTTGAGAATAACAAAATGTTTCAATTACTTTTTGTAGTTTAAATTTTGTTTGTAGTAATGCAATAAAGGTTGCAACAAGTAAAGTATATATGTTATTGACGACAAGAAGCAAATCATAAATGGAATGCAACTTTCATTGTATATTAAATATTTGTACCAATCTTAAGTTGTCCATAAGCAAATATACAACTGGGACTCCCAAGTTTTTCACTGACTTGACATATAAAACCCAGGATTGCATGACTGAGAAGCTTCATTAGTAATTTATTCCTAGTGCCATTGAAAGCTTCAAGCCTCTACAAGCATCTGAACCCCTAGCTGTGTTGACCCAACCAGGAGTGTTTATCTCCTGGCCAGCCTCCTCGTCCTATTTCAGTTGAATCCATAAATTTCAATTCTGGTTTAAAAAATTTGGCCCGAGATTATATAAGTTTATTTTCAATTTAGCCAATGAAAATTTGTTTTACAGTTACTGCAGTCTGTCTACCAAGGTATTGTCATTAGATTTTCTCAGCAATTTTTTCTAGTTGGTGGGGTAAGTCACTTAGTTTTTTGTTAATTTTTTTTTTTAAGGGTGGGGTTTTTTAAATTTCTTGTATGGAAAAAAGAAAAGTTTTTTTTTTTTTATGCATAGTAATATTAGGGTGATTCTTATTGAAATTAATGCCATTAATTCCCATGTTAATTACTGAGAAAAAGTTAAGTTTTCTCCTCAAATAATTACAGTTGGTATTGGGTTAAACTAGATATGAAAAGAAGTTTTCTCAAGGAACAAAAAGGAAAATTTCAAAGTCTTCAATTCTATTGTAGACATGAAATGACTGCAAAAAGTTGTCAGCACTATTTTTCTTTTTGAAAGCAACTAGAGATTTTATATAAAAAATATTTAATTTAAAAAAAAAAAAAAATCAAAAACAAAATAACAGAAAAATACTGCACATGCCTCATGTTAATGTGAAAGAATCATTTAATAAAATAAATTTGAGAGATAGCTAAAAAGCAGGAGGCTTATGGCCATATCACGTTAAAACAAAAGTTCTCATACAATTAATGAAGTTAAGCAACATTGAGCCTGGTCAGTAATTAGATGAGCAAGTGCTCTTGAATATGAGGTGCTGTAATGGATAATGGATAAGAATTGGAAATCGGAGAGCCAAGTTTCAATTCCAGTTGGGTTTGTTATATTTACTTATATGCAAATACTCTTGGGAAAGGTATGAAACCACTTCTCCCCAAACTAGGGATTAATTAGTAAAACTTCTTTTATTATTACCTTAAAAAAAAAAAATCTTAATCTAAAATATTTCCTGGCTTTAAATAACCTGCAAAAGGTTGATAAGCCACAAAAAAAATTAATAAAAAAGCAGGAGGTGGCGGAAGGGAGAAAGAATAACAAACACTGAAAGGAATGAAAGGACTGAAAAAAAAAAAAACAAAAAACAACCCCCCCCCAAAAAAAAACAAACAAATTTGATTTCTGCTTCCCCATCTAACAATTACAATCAAAATGTTACTTCCCGCATAGTTAATTTGTTTGTGCCTGATATTAGGTTGGTTAAAATGTTCATTGTTTCTATAATGAAGAGCATTTAAACTCCATTCAAAAAGATAGCTTTTGGTTTAACTGTAACAGTTGTCATATCTCAAGAAAATATATTGTCAATTCACCTTCCTTGTGATGATAGCCAAACCGAGTGTCCTCCACAGGAGCTAGCTTAATACTGCCCAATAGAGCGGCTTTTAAGCTAGTTTATAATAAAACGTGCACTACAATTTTGGATACAAAAAGAAAATAAGAGTTACTCCCCTTGAATCATGGAAGCAATGATAATGGCTAGTATGATATATTTTTTAACCTCGCATAATCTGCCAACCCTGTTTCTAAGCCCAACAAAAATCTTTCCTTGCGCTTAACTTTTCTAGGGCTTTTAAATGAGCTATGAATCATTGAAACTGGACCAGTGAGAGCGGAGGAGTTGCTTGGACATGCACAAACACCGTACTCT